GAGGATCTTCGCATGTATTCGAGCCAGGGGAGGAGTTATTTTATATTAAATTCACACCTTTTAATAATAAATTGTTGTTTAAGTTTAATTAAACAGTCTTTTCCTTTCTGTGAAATTTCTATCACTATTACACTATGATTAATGGCTCAATTTTTTAAAATAAATAATAAAAAATACTTTTATATTTTAATTTCAAACAGGGTATTCCTATTTAAAGAAAGCATACAACATAGATTTTTCTTGATAAAGTTACATTTAAAGAATTATAGGAGCTTATGCTGTTGATCGCAAACTTTTTTTGATGTGTGTAACTGTTGAACTACAACTATTGCTGCTTCATTACTGAATGTATTATATTTTGAGGAGCAAGGCTAATTACTGCACTTTAAAAAATACAAAATACACGTGCACATTTCGTACCTTGAGTTAAATTGTACAAGAAATTAAACATTCGTTCTGTGCAGTCATGTTGTATGTTCTATTAGTACGTACAATGAAGTTTATAAACATTCATGTATTAATTTTCTTCTAAGTAATATCAAACAAGCAAGGGACTCGGGACGTGTTGTTTTATTAAAGTAATGGATTTTTGAGGCGTGGGCGATTCACGCTTATCAGTAATTCCGTAAACACAGTGACGATGCTTTTGCATTTCTAAACTAGATTATAAAATTGAACACCGATTGGTGTTTGGTACGCTATCTTGTAATGTAGTCCTAGATAATGAAAAAACACTGAAAATTATTTTTTAATCAAAACTGTTAGTTTTGTATCAATCATTTAAGTCGAATCAATCTTTCGTGTCATTACGTTTACCTACATGTTATAAACCCATCAGTAAATTACTTTCAATAAAATTATATTTAAAGTTAAAGATTTTCAATGTTTCCCTACAATTCTAAACAGGCGTAATAAGTGTGGACTAGATCTAGCATACAGGAAGCAATTAACTTAACAAGAAAGGAGGCCTCGAACTAAATACTTAGTATTAATTGCGAAATTGGAGTGTAAGCATAATTGCGTTGAAATTAGGTACAATAACGTTCAAAATAATTTATATTTATATGCTCTAAGCTTTTAAGTTATCATAACAATTAGCAAAAACTAACAATTTCAGCATTTTGCTTTTATTTAAAAAAAAACCTAATATTTTACTCAAATATTTGACAACATTCTATTGAAAACTAGAAACCCAGACGAAATATATTTTCAGATTGCAACAAAACTGTTTAAAAGATGTTTCGTGATAAAGTTTAAAATTCAATTGGTGGTATAGATTACCTCTTTCGTTAGAGTACGTTGTCAATACGCATTATGGTAGGCTTTGAGTAATACAAGCAGGTATATACCTCAGTGCAATAGGATGTTATTAAAAGAACGTCAGTGTACCTAGTATGAATAGATACCTAACGCATGGTAAAAGAGAAAAGGTGTTCGAACAGCTCTACACCTACTCATTGACCTTTAATTACGCGCATCCCTGACTGAGCTTAACTGAAGCGTGCAAATGTTGTCCAACCAACACCGTTGTAATATAAGCTTGACGTGTGCTTGTGTAACACAGCTATGTTCACACTATTGTGCTTTGCGTTTTTTTAAAGCATTTCTATTTCTTTTATTTCTGGCTAAGTCAATAATTTGCTGACTATGTGATCTTGTTGCACCTATTTTGTAATACAGAAGAGCGGGTTTCCTAGCACAAGTAATACCTATTCAAAAGTAGTACCGAACCCAGACTATTGTAAACTACGTCAACTTATCTTGTCGGTAGGCTGAAAACGACAAACTACGAAGTTTCGGATCTTGTCCATTGTCACCTTAATGTCATTCTTCGTTAGAGCCAATGATCTTAAGAGCATTTTTATTCTATTAAACACTTCGTGGATAAACGTAAGCTTCTTCTGCATTAAACAAGAAACCAAAATAAATACCGCGGTACCGACATATACGCGTACGCAGATGTACTTTTCCCTAATGTAAATATAACGAATCGAAATGTTTCTTCTTATCATTGAAACTCTTCGAATTTGAATGAGTAAATCGAAGACGCTACGATGTTTACGTCGCTCTTCGTATATTTTAAAGCAGTCTGGCGTAGTTATGATAGAACAACGAACTCCGCGTGTTGGCGTGCCATGTGGCATGTGCGGAGCGTGTGTCGGGCGCCTGATTTGGTAAAGAAGTGAGGTAAAGCGTCAGCAAGGAACGGCGGCGGGCGGTACGGCTCGATCGCGCTGAGTATGGGCGGGCAACGGCGCTTTGGCAACTCGCCGCACGCTATTTATAATGAACCTTGAGAGCAACCGCCCTTGCCGCCGTAACTAACTCGACATTTCGATATTCGTCGCTAATTTCTACGCTATCATTCAGTTCTATTTTTTCTCGGTCTATTATTAAACACACCTCCTCTTCCCTTCTATAGTTATACTTCATTAGCTTTTCGTAGCGCTATTTTCGGAAGACCTCACCTTGCAATTTTACGTTTAAACACCCTTTGAACGTTACTAGTGACGTATAGGTAAATGTCCTGTTGAGGGTTTTACATTTAGGAGAATCTTCCGTTCTACCTATTTTTAAGCGTATTTACGATGTTTTAAAACATTCATAATTATTAATTATTGTAAATAAATCTTCCGCCTAGGAGCCAGATGTAAATCACAATTCTTGGAATTATTGAACACTATATTTATAAACATCAACATTTTCCTCGAATATTACTAATGTGCCAAAATATACAAGATAAACGGGGACGTAACACTCTGTTATGACGATTTATGATAACGCGAGACAGTGTATAAGTAATCGTTGTTTGTTGGTAGTCATAATCGGGGATGCCAATGACTAATCGAACCTATTATGTGGAAGCGTCGAGGCTTGTCCGCGACACGGCGGCGGCCCAGCCAGCGCGTCGGCTCTCCGCGGTATCGAGCTCAGGCCTGTGCCTTTGCCGGTGAAAGGGAGGTTAAACGCCACGGCAAGACAGATTGCCGCAACTTACTAAAAATGGCGTCATTCATACATTTTGCGGTTACATTGAGTAAAAAATGATTACTACTGAGTAGATACTTCATGCGAAATTTTGTGCGACTCGAACGAAGGACGCCGAGTTGTAGCGTGTTCTGTAGGGAACTAGTAAGTAGCAGTATGGCAATGGTGTACCGTGCATGATGGAAAATTTGCCATTTTTGTCTGAAAGTATATCTAAATATTTGTTTCAGCCTCAACGAGTGCTACTTCGCAAACAAAGGCACGGCGTTGGTGTTGGGCGGGTCGGAGCGCGGGTGCGCCGACCAGCGCCGGTCGCCGGCGCGCACGCACCCGCAGCCTGATATCCAGCACCACCTTCAGTCCATGTTCTGCCTGCTACGTCCCGAAGAAACGCTCAAAATGGTAAACAAATTATAATCTTAAAATCATTACACAAGTACCGAGAACAACTCGAAAAGATGTCGAAATAAGTACCTACGCTAGGTTTAAATCAACGTTGCCTCATTTTTCCCACAAAAACCATAACTATACAGTAGTGCATAATGACGTCGAATCAGAGCAATGAAATTAGAAATTGGTACTTGGCTTTGTTTGTTACCGAATATAGAAAATGTCTAGGATCTGTTCAATAACTAAAAAAA